CTATACGCATGCACCTGTGGTCCATTGGAAAAGAGATGCTCTACGCTATCCACATTTTTTGGACATCCAGCAAATCATCTAAGATCTTATGGCTTAGAGCTGACGTCCATTCGTGTGGGCTCATATGCAAAGAAAATGACAATAGATTCAAGCGAATTATATAGTTTTCTTTACCTATGATCACAAAGATTATTTTGGAAAGATAGGCACGAATTTTTAGTAAGAGTATGAGTTCGTAATAGCGAAAAATAGAAAATACTTTTGATTTTTTTCCGTAACTACCCTCTTAGCACATCCTCCACGGTAATCATAATTGCTTACAATACATTTGTGAGTCGCAACTCATAGGCATCAGCATCGTATATCGATGCCTATGAGTTGTGAAGTTTTGTGAGGAGTTATAACATGTGATCTACATCAAACTGTGTCACCCATATGTCAATTATCTGATAAGATGGTAAGCTATGAGGATCGCCAATCAGATGCTCTGATATTACGACTCATAGGCATCGTACCGTGCCGTGGCGCCTATGATCGTCTAAGCTCAACATAGATATTTGTATTCTTCCCTTCTAGAAGCAATGGTTAATGGCTACAACTTTCAATGACACTTTTTTGATTTAAGAATGCTTGATGTTGCTTATGACATCTCGCAGGCCTCTAATTCTCAAATTTTTGACAAACTTCGTAATCCAAATTTTCATGTTTCTGTTTTCGAAACTAGTATCAACGATGGCAAGTCAAGCGAACTTCACTTCTAACAGTTTTTTTTACGAAAAAGTGTCAAAAGAAAGACGACTTCATTCCTAAATTTGTTTTCCTGTCTCGACTAACAATGAAAGCCACGACAAAGATTCATTTCCAAGTATGAAAAAAAATATTATTATAGCATTTGATCGCCCTATTTTATTAGCGATAACACATAAATGCTACATTGAATGCGAAAATACTGTAAGAAAAAGAAAATCGAACAAAAAAAAAACAAGAGTTACGACTCTAGTTGTAGGAGACTAGAAATCTCTCTAGGCAAGCACAATTCAACCAACCAGTGGGGGAATAATACATACGCTAGTAGTCTGGACGAATGGAATAGAGAAAAACGACAAAAGAGTAAAGTGTACCGGAAAGAGATAATTCTTTATGCAAAAAATGAACTCAAAATAGAACTTGACGTGGAAACAAACAGATACAAACGATGTGAAATAAAAATTGTGTACAGTAAATTAACGCGAAGAGATCGCCGTGTTTCTTTTTCTGTTTATTACTCATATTGTTTTTGACTCACTGCAATGGATGCGGAAGAGTGTGGGATGGATGACGACGCCGTGGCAAGAGAAAAAGGGCACATATGCGCTGTTCGTGGACTAGATCATCGGATGACGAGGTTTTGTAATGGAACGATGCCGGTCGAGACGAGATCGCGACGACGATGCACGCGACAGCAACGAGCGATCGAACCACGTCGTGACAGTACTCGTACGCTTTCGCCGCGTGACACCACCAAGTGACCAGGTTCGCACGAGTCCGCAATCACAGAAGCGAGCGGTGACGCGGCAAGCGAGGCCGATGGCGTCACAGCTCGATGCATGCTTACGCGACTAAAAGCAAAATGAGTGAGTTTAGACTGGCACGATCCACCACGGATGATGCAAGCGCGAACACAACGCCCGTCGCTTACCGCAACAAAAAGCTGTCACTTCAAATCTTCAATAATCGGCTATTAACGGTGCAATTTCAAAAAAAAAAGAGAAAAAAGTTTCAAGCGCACGACTACAGTCGAGTAGAATTTCCGCTCACTATAGTGTGCTTGCGGTGCCGAGAAATTGCGGTAAAATCTGCGCGTG